TCTGATTTTTCGTGGGTGGTTTGAAGCATTTGGTCCGAGAACCTTTCAGCCACAGTTGATGAGCTGATTGTGGGTTTTGTCTTGAGCCTGGTCTTTAGTGTCAGCTGAGTTTCATTCTAAGATCCCCCTGGAGAATTTCTATTCTGATAATTGTGTCTCTTAACAACTGATATGTTTTTATTTTATGAGCTGGATGGGCACCTGGTAAATATTTTTTTCCCTTTTTTGCTTTTGTTGCTAGGTAGCCCAGAGCCAAATTGCTATTCTGTTATAACTGTGTACGACCTTATGACAGGCATTTCTGAGAGCTGCCTTTTACTCTGACCTTATTTTACTATTCCACTTTATTTTTCTTCTCTTTGCCCAGATTTCTCATCCTGTTTTGAAAATGATTTCTTCACAGGGTCAAACAGTGCTCCTTGTTCAACAGGAATTCCCAGGAGGTGCCTCAAAGTCACCGCCAACCTGGAATATGAGTTTGTATGCATTACAAAAAGGGGCTCCTGCCTTCAGGCAGACAGCCTCAACCAGTGCCCTTGTAAATGCACTTATATCCTTGGCAGTACTCCAAGAACTTCCTTGATGGGTTCTGGGCCTGGTGCAGCCCCCTCAATTTGAGCAACTTCTTGTTTATTTGTTTTACATATTGGCCTGCTGCAAAATCTTTTACTTAAAAAGAAATTCATGTGTTCATTCATTTTTAAGTTAATTTGTTAGTTTTGTGGTGCTTTTGATATGCTAGGTGCTAGAACACAAAGGTAAACAAGATTGCTTCAAGGACTCTGCCTTCTTTGGAGGTTGTTGCATTCTGATGCGGGAGCCAGTCACTAAATCAAGGATCAGGGAGAGCCTCTCTGAGGAGGCGATGGTGAAGACAAGGTCTGTAGAATGAAGAGGAGCCTGATGCACCAAGGGCAGGAGAAAGAGACTTTCTCCTGCAAGTGCAAAGGCCCTGATGCTAGAGAGAGCTTGAGAGGTTGTAGGAAAAGAGTTCTTATGGTTGTGAACAAGAAATAGAAGGAGACTTGTTACTGCAAGTGAGAAGAAAAGATGAGGGAAAGTTAAGGATGACTCTTAGTTTCAATAAGTGAACAGAGAGTGGCATGAGATAAGATTTGAAGGACCCAGATCATTCAGGACCTTTTCGGCCATGGTAAGGAGTTGGGATTTTATCTTACATATAATAGGAATCCATTGAATGGTTTTAATGAAATGATTCAAAGTTTAAAGAATCAGTAGGGTTCCTGTGGGCAGCAGAAAGAACAGAAGTGAGAAGATCAATCCATGGGAGAGATAATATTGGTTTGGGGCAAGATGGTGATGGAGAGGGAGTAAAATGGGTGTATATTCAAAATATTATAGAAATAGACTTGTTACTGAAAGTAAGAGGAAAAGATAAGGGAAAATTAAGGATGACTGTTAGTTTCAATAAGTGACCAGATGCTAGTGACATTTATTGAACTAAGGAAGTACTGTGATGGAGAAACTTGGAGAGAGGGGAGAGAATAAAGAATTCAGTTGTGGACATACTTATTTCAAGACATCCTAGTGGAGATGTCAAATAGCAAAAAAGTGGAGAGGATAGGGCTGCTATTACAAATTTGAGAGTCATCAGGAAATAGATGATGTTGTAGACAGAAGATTGAATGAAATCTAGGAACACAGTGGAAATGAGAATTCCCAGAACCAAGTCCTGGGACTATGTAAAAGTTGAGTACAGAAGGAAAAGGGGAGAAATTAGATTAAGGTAATGGAGCACAACCAAGATTGGAGAGTGTTTCAAGAAGGAAGGAATAACCAACCTCTCAGAGATCAAATCAGATGAGAAAAGGAAGGTGTGCACCCTTATTTTGCAGCATGCTGGACTGGTCAGAGAAGTTTTAGAGGGTGATAGAAATGGAAGCCAGATATAGTTGCTCAGATGGTATGAAGAGAGGTAATGGGAACAGTGAATATTTCCAAGATATTATGTCCTGAAGAGGATCAGGGACATGGGGTAGTAAGTGGAAGCAGGAACAGCTAGAACACATTTTTGTGCTGATGGGAATGATCTAGTGAAGAAAAAGAACAAAGCTGATGTGTGTTAGGTGGTAAAAAATGAAGGATTGAAGTTCTTGTGTAGGTTAAAGAAGATTGAATCTAGAGCAGATGCTGAGGGGTTGACTTTGTCAGGGGAAAACATGCTTTATTGGGGGAAAGAAAGAGAATTGTGTCCGCCTAATGGCTTTTCCTTACCTTGATGAAGCACTGTAATTGGGTGAATGTGAACAGGTTTCAAAAAGCAGTGGACTCATCCTCTCAAAGAGTAGGTAGCCATTGAGAAAGAAATATAAGATTGAACGTCACTGTTGACTATCCATTTGAGGTTTATAATCTTGAATTTAAACTAAAGCCAGACAGTTCCATTTTGTGATTTTCACCACCAAGTTTGGTGACAAAATGTGCATAAAATAGACTTCGTTTTTTGGCCAAGAAAACACTAAATGAGACATGGACGTTCTGAACCACCTGTGAGGGAGTGATTGCAATATTGGGCTGCTTTGGAAATAAGCTACATAAGGATGGAAGTAAAAGGAGGAGGGACTGGTGGGTCGTGAGAGATTGGGAGGGACAATCAAAAGGGATATTTGACTTTGCAAAGAAGTCAAGTATAGGAGGGGAGAACAAACTATAGAGCTAGGGGCTAGAAGAACCAGATGGAATTCTAAGAGTGAGATATTAGGAATTGAAATGTCCAGGTGGTAATGACAAGCTCTAGGGGTACTCGGGGAAAGGAAGAAAAAAATTTTATATTTAAGGAGGCCAAAGAAATCAAAGTTCACTCTCAAAATAAGTTGGAAACCCATTCTTATTTATTATTTGTATTTCTTGAGTCATCTCAAATCCTTACTTGGAATTAGGTGATAGGGTGCGCATAAGTAATGAATGATAGTGGCTGATTCGTTGTGGGTCTACTATATAAATACCATTTTAGGATGTACTTTTGGACACTGTGTACCAAAATTCTTCATTACCATCAAGATATTGCTTGTGATGTATTTGGAAATGGGCTAATTCTCATGTCTTGATTAGTTGATAATTCTCATTTTTTTAGTCAGTAACAACATAAGACCCGCCATGGCCTTTTGGGTAATAGCTAATGCCTTTTAGGTGGCACACAAGACCCTTGCAATGAAACAACTCTTCTATACATGTCCCATCACACCCCCGTCACTCCCTTGAGGTGTTCTAGCCACACCAAACAAATTTCTAATGTGAGGTCAAGAGCTGCTCATTCTGCCTGGCATGAAGGCTAAAATACCAACTTCTGGGTTAAGCCTTTTCTAAAAGGTTGAACTGTCCAAAAATGCCATTTTGAAGGGTCACAAAATGTCATATACTGGCGCTTTCATATTGTTAGTAATTTGCTACCACTATTACAAGTCTGAACCATGTATTATTGGTAGAGCTATTACTTGCTGAATTGGAATTCTGTGTTACGTGCTTTATGTTCACCATCTCATTTAATTCCAGCAATAAACCCAAAAGGTAGGTGGAACTACTTCCACTTGTTAGACAAGGATCCTGAAATTTAGAAAGGGTCTTTCTGGGAGAAAGTGCATAATAAATGGTGGAACTGGGTTTTGACTCCAAAAGCAAAGGTCATACCATGCTCTTTCCTTTGGTGTTATTCGTGGCAGTGACAGCAGTACAGAGCACACGCCTGATACAGAGTTGGAAAACGTAAATACATACGGTACATTCTTCATCGGTCAGAAAACTACCCAAATTGAAGGCTGCTTTGTTCAGGGACCCCTAGGAATACTTTATGATGGCCTAGTATCTTGACATTGGATTTACCTTGATAATTGTTGTTGTTCCACTGTAATTTAGAAATATAAATTTTAACAGTAATTTTTAACAGAAACTAAAGGTCTGAACAGCCCTTAAAACCTTAATCCTGTAATTACTGTTTATTTGTTTTAAGGCACTGCCTTGATCCATGTTTGCCAGACAGGTTCCTAATTGCTGGCATTGAAATGATCTAGGAAGCCAGTTTCTTCAGCTCATGAAAAGAACATGTAGATTTATTGAAGTGTGGATGCTAAGTATTGGTGTAATGCAGTCAGAGGGCACAGAGCATCTATGTTCATTTCCCAGACACCCTTTTTCTCTCATTGACATGGACTTTTCCTCTCGTTCCTAAGCATAATGGTGCTCTAGTAAGACAAGAAGTCGGTTGGCAAGTGTAACACAGCTGCTCTGATGCCTTGAATTTGGCTAATATTCCTTCTTTATTCAAACTTGATTCTGTAGCTTTCACTGAGTTTCTGGTGTCAAAGTTCAAAGCAATGGTTGTCAAACTTTCGTGTGTGTCGGAATCTTCTAGAGGGATTGCTGGGTCCCATCCCCCCCAGACTCTGACTCAGTCCATCTGGGCTGGGGCCCTATTTTCTGCAATTCAGTAAAGCTCCCAGCTGATGTTGATGCTGCTGGTCTGGCACCTACATTTTAGCTTTCGGGCCTGTTCAAGACCTGCTTTACAGGACACCAAATGAGGTTAGATAAAAAAGCAAAAATCTCAGCAAATAACTGAATGCTGGATTTTACAGACAAAAGAAAAGAAAAGAAAAAGAAAAAGACACAAAACAAAAACCAGTGACTTAAAAAATAATTTATCTACTGATTTTTGACATCAGTGGGCTAGAACTTGGGAATCCTTCTTCCAGATACTAAGGAAACTTTCTTCTCTATGACTTTCACGCCTTCAGTCAGTATGCTTTGTTCTTAAACCTATCCTAGAGCGAGATGTTTTATTAAATTGATGAGTTTTACAATACAAAAATGAAAGCAAAGAATTTTCAAAATGAAAACATTCCATAATACAATAAGAATTGTGGATATTAGATGTAAAAGAGTGATTTCTAATTTGCCTTTGTTTAGAAGCTCAACAATATTTGCATTTTTATTAGATTCAAAATGGTATGAGTCATGAAGATCAACACATTTCTTTTTGATAGGAATCCTTTGTGTTTGAACCCAACTGCCTCTTCAAAGTGGATGAGTTTGGCTTCTTTCTGACATGGAAAAGTGAAGGCAAGGTATGGCCCAAGAACAGCAAGTTGTTCTTTCTGCTTTGTGGTTTAAACCATTTTGTTTCTCAACAGGTAGACTGAGCGCTATTGATGAATCCTACCCTTATTCATTCATTCAAGGTTTTAAAAAATGCACCTGCATGTGCCAGGCATTGAAGTATACAGTGATGATTAAGGACATTATCCTCATAGATTCCAGTCTAGAAGCAAAGTCAGGCATTAAAAGATAAGTTACAAGTCATTAAATGTTGTGAAAGAGAACACTGGATTGTCAAAGAGCTTAATTTAATCTTGGGAGTTAGAAAGAAATCTGCCAGAAGAAGAGATGCTCAAGCTGAAATCTAAAAGGTACATTAAAAGTGTGTTCATCTCATTAAACCCTGGGACTTAATTTGATGTATGGTACAGTGTCCACATTTAATGAACAATTGAGCTGAATTTAAGAAAAGAAGAATTATAGTTATATAAAAATTAGCATTTTTCTCATATTTCATGTACACACATATGTTTAATGATTATTAACAATGTTTTATATATAAAAGTAACAGATTTTAGAAACATTTTTATATTTAGCATTGCATATATATGTATATATGAAATGGAATACTTGGGATCTTGATTATTTCTGATTATTTGCAATAATTATTGTTACATGGTTTTAATTCCTTCTTCAACCTGACTGTAATAAGCACAGCCTTCATCATCAGAAATTTTTGCCAAGCACTTTGCCTGTATCATAGGTATGGCATAATTTAAGCTTATTGCTGTGTTGTATTCTCTCTCTTCAGGAAGGACAGGTGCTAGAATGCTCCCTCATCAACAGTGTTCGGTCGGGAGCCATACCAAAGGTACCTGTGATTGGTATTTGCTTTTCTAAACACGGATTTACTTATATTGGAAATGGCCATGGCTTCTAGAGATAAAAAGCTCACTCTTTGTATCCAGGCTACTTAAAACATTTAATCTCAGTTTTGAGAATAACATGTGGTTGCTGGTTGTGGTAATGCCATATTTATTCACATGAAACCTCTGTGACTCTCCTCTGTTGAGAGAGAGGCTTTGTGGACAAGCAGACCCTAATAAAAGGCTTTTCTATCCTGTTGCCATATTCTAGCTCCTCCAACAACTACAATCAAAACTCTAAACAAAGACCCTCACATCTAGTTTCTAAATCAAAAATTTTAGGCCAGGCACAGTGGCTCACACCTCTTAGCACTTTGGGAGGCAGAGGGAGGCAGATCCCTTGAGCCAAGGAGTTGGAGACCAGCCTGGGCAACATAGTGCAACCCTGTCTCTACAAAAATTACAAAAATTAGGGTGTGTTAGCATGTGCCTGTAGTCCCAACTACTCAGGAGGCTTCTGTGGGAAGATCCCTTGAGACAGGGAGGCAGATGTTGCAGTGAGCTGAGAATGCGCCACTGTTCTCCAGCCTGGGTGACAGAGCAGAGACTCTGTACCACTCCCAACCAAAAAATTTGTAATACCTTTCTTATCAGTTGATTTCAAGGAATATATAGTGTTACAAATTTCACCTCTACAGGTTTTAGAATAACGCTAAGTATCTGGGCCCTTATGTGTATTTTTACATTAAATGTGGTTGCTTTTTACCAAGTTTCTTCCTCCATGCTCTGTGATCTAACTTATTTTTTTTCTATCTGTGTACCTCTATACAGGATCCCAAAATCTTGGCTGCTCTTGAAGCTGTTGGAAAATCAGAAAATGATCTGGAAGGTCGGATAGTTTGTGTCTGCAGTGGCATAGATCTAGTGAACATTAGTTTTACCTACATGGTGGCTGAAAATCCAGAAGTAACTAAGGTAGCTTCAGTTAAATGGCCTTCTTCTCTTCCTCCCCCCCATAATGTATATATGTTGTGTGTTTAATTTTATGTGTGCTATATTTTTACATACTTAAATTGTATGATAATTTAAAAAGTAGCATTGCTTTGCTGACATGTTTCTGTAGAAAATCAGCAAGCACAGTACCCTTTTAGCATGTCACTCCTGTGGGCCAGCAACCCAAATACCTACTATGATATGTTGGAGGGAAAACTAGTCCAGCACTTCTCCAACTTGAGTGTATACCAGAGTCCCCTGAGCTCTTGTTAAAATGCAGATTCTGATTCAATAGGTCTGAGGATCCTTTTCTAACAAGCTCCCAGGTGGCATGGATACTACTTATCTGACAACTACAGTTTGAGTAACAAAGGTCTGGGTCAATACCACCCAGTAGAAATGCAATGTGAGCCACATATATAATTTAAATTTTTCTTGTAGCCATGTATTAAAAGTAATAAGATACAGGTAAAATTAATTTTAATAAAATATTTTGTTTAATCCAGTAGACCTAAAATATTGTCATTTTAATAGGAGACCAATATAAAATTTATTAGTGACATATTTTACATTCTTTTGCTCATACTAAGTCTTAGAAATCTGATGTGTATTTTCAAATCAGGCTAACCACTTTTAGGTGTTCAATAGCTGCATATGGCTAATGGCCACTATACTGGGTAGGCAGTGCAGGTCTGGATGGCTAAGAAATCCAAACTCCCCCTCCCAATAAGTTATTAAAATATTGGGTTAAGATCAGTCGTTTAATACCCAACATACCATTGCCCTGGCAAGTGAGTCTCAAAGAGACTTCTCAAAGAAGTAGAAAGCCTCTTAAATATTTTTTCTGCTAATCACGTGTTTACAGGGTGATTTTACCTCTGTACAGCGCTCCCGTTATCTTTCTGTAATGTGTGTGAAAAGGACTAAGCCTTCACTTTCCATTGCAGAGAAGGGTTTGGGGGAATGGGGAGGCATTTTGTCCTCTCATTAACCCTATAATTGGAAACTCAGTGTAGGATGAATTTCTAATATCATTAGAAATACTGAATTTTAGAGCTAAAAGGAAATGTACAGGGAAGATTATTTGAGGACACTGAGATTACAAAACTTAACCATGAATCCAGAGATGACTTATGGCAGAATTGAGTTCTGTTGACCCCTACACCATCAAAGCTCTATTACCCTCACTCACAAAGTATGGTCCTCATTCTAGAAGTGCTGACCCCTCCTGGGAGCTTGTTACATATTTGACTCTCATGCCCACCCAGATGTTCTGATCCTGAGTCTTCATTTTTGACAAGACTCTCCAGGTGACTCAGATGTATGGTGAAGTTTGAGAACTCCTGGTTTATAACTTTGGAGGCAGAAATGGATGCTCCATGTCACATAAGAGTGTTTGGTTCTGTCCTTATTGTGGTGGTTTTATGCGATCGTTCATGTCACCTCACTTCAAGAGAACAGATTTTGCAGTGTCTTTAAGTTCTTTTATTACTCTGCTGAGATCAACTCCTTCTTTAATTACCAATTCATATTACAAGAAACAGGATTATGCAGTATAAGCTCAAATATTGGGGCTTTGGGGCCACATTGCCCCGGTTCAAATCCTTGCTCGTCCCCTTCCTAGCTGTGTGAAGCAGATGTACAGCTGGACCTCTCTGCGCCTCATTTTCTTCATCTGTAAAATGGGAACAGTACCAGAATATCTGCTCTTTGGATGATTGTGAGGCTTACATGAGTTATTACATGGGAAGCACTTTGCGTACTGCCTTTCTCGTTGAAAGCCCCCGGTATGTGTTTGCTATTAGGATGACAGAGGCACAGAATTTTAGGGTTGGAAATGGACCTTAGGAAGGGCTTCTCACCTCATTTTTCAGATGAGAAAAATGAAGCCAGAGAGGTAAAGGAACTCTGAGACCACACAGCAAGCTGGGCCAGAGTCCAACCTAAAACCAGGTCTTCTTATGCCCTATATGCTGCACCCACTTTGCCCTGTGCCCTGAACAAATACAGTCCTGGGGAGATGGCTCAAATCAGTACATCTCATAATGTTTTTGCTTTCCATAATTTGGTTGCTGTTAGTCTTGGCCCATTCTAAGAACCGTGTTCTGAAACATACTCTTGAGTAGATTGTGGATATGTACAGTTGACCCTTGAACGATGTGGGGGTTGGGGTACCATACCCCTGTGCAGTTGAAAATCCATGTGTAACTTTTGACTCCTCCCAAACTTAATAGCCTACTATTAACTGAAAGCCTTACTGATAATATCAACAGTCAACTCACATACTTTTTGTATGGTGTATGTATTGCCTATTGTATTCTTACAATAAAGTAAGCTAGAGAAAAGCAAATGTTAATAAGAAAATCATAAGGAAGAAAAAATATGTTTATTGTTCATGAAGTAGAAGTTGATCATCATAAAAGTCTTTATCCTTATCATCCTCACGTTGAGTAAGCGGAGGAGGAAGAAGAGGAAGAGGTTGGTCTTGGTGTCTCAGGGTTGGCAGAGGTGGAGGAGGTGGAAGTGGAGTCAGGAGAAGCAGGCACATTGGTGTAACTTTCACTGAAAAAAAAAAATCCACGTATAAGTGGACCCACACAGTTCAAACCCATGTTGTTCCATGACAAGTGGTATATGTTTGAGGGTTGGGAGTGGGGGGATGTATACTTCAAGGTAAGAGTTGAAGGTTTTCTCCTAATATCATTTACATGGAAATTTAAGAGCAGCTGGCCAGTAAGAGCTAAAAAATAATTCCGTATTGGATTTTTTTATTCAAACTCAATACTATTTGAGCATGCTCTTACTGAAGAAAGTAAGTGTTTCAGTTTCTGGGAACTATTACATTGAATTTCATTAATAGCATAATATATAAATAAATACAAATCTCATTGTCCAAACTGGACAGTGCATTGTCCTTTTGGTTGATTGACACTTGGAGAAAATATTGAGTACATTTTTTCACCAAATATACATGCATGTGGATACTCTTACCCACTGCCTTATCTCAAAACTTAAAATAAGTATATTTATCACTTTCAGCATTGACAGCATTTTCTCCAACACCACTGTTTCATTTCTATTCCTTTCTATGTGTTTCTATTGCTAATAGAACACACAAGCCATCAAAGTGAAAGGCTTCATATGAAATACACATAGATATAATTACCTCAGTTCAAAATAATGACAGGATACATAAATCAAATTGGGTCCATGAGAAATGTAGAGATCTCCCAGGGTACATGAAATACTGTTTGTGACTCAGTGAGTGGTTCTACTCAAACATGAGTGTATCCTAGGAGCCTCGAATCATGGGGCCATGAAGTATACTAACAGCCCTCTTACTTAGCCCATGCAATAAGCTGTGTTTTTGGTCAGTTTATCACAAGAGTCAATTCGAGGAAGTAATCATTTTTTAAAATTAATTCATATATACCTTAAACACTGTAACTTAAAGCATATAAATGTTGTTCTATTGACTAATCTTTTAATGTTAGGGACAAGCCTTTTCATTAACTATGGGTCTATTGAGTGGGTTTTATGTTTTCGGTTTTTGGTTTTTTTTTTTTTTTTCTCTATACTTTGAATGCCTCAGGTAGCCAGTTTGGTTTCTTTAAAGTGGATCTGAGACTAAGGACACTGATTGGGCAGAGTGCAATGGAATGTAAAATCCTACAGTTCTGTGACTTTTCTCCCTAATCTTTTAGTTATCTTGTCTACACGGAATTTGAGAGAAATATTTTTAGCAACTTGCCTTTAAAGAAATCTTGCCAAAATATTCAACTAGAGAAATGACAATCCTCTTTCTTTCCACAAGATTCAATCATTGGTTTATGTAATTTTTATGACAACTGACAATAAATAGATTTGAAAACAAACATAAGTAACTCATGATAGACATGCAAGGTGAGAGCAAAAGGGTACAAAATATTGGAAAGTAGCTTGCCGGCTGGGAGAGTCCAGCACTCCCTGGGCAATCTGTGTATTTTGCTTGTCTTATGAACACCTGATGAGCCTTGGTCTGACAAGTGAACTATAAGTTAAGTGAGTTTCTAGTATAGAACTTCCTTATGAGTAGATTCACGAGTCTTTTTTTAATTCCTAGGCTCTGATTACACTTAAGAGCTGACCATTCAGAATAATTCACTTAACCCAACATTTAATCTAGGCAAAAGGGTCAACTTTGAACTTAGTGTCTTTTATACCGAGGACCACGTTCCACATGGAGAAAGCTTTCCTGACTTTCAGCAAGCATTTTCCCTTCTTTATTTTTCTACTTCTCAAACAGGGTCTCTGATAGTTTTTTTCTTATTCGCGTGGGTGCTTTAAGAGTCAATGAAATATTGTCTGAAATCTGAGTTTCTCATGATTGGATTTTAAATAAATACAAAATATTCTCCAGTGCATATGACTCTGAAAATATGATTGTGCTTTTTTCAGTAAAAGATAATAACATTATAAGAGACACCTTGGTAGCTCACCTTGTCTTTTCTTCACCTTCTCTCTCTGCTTTGAGAGTAAATAAGCTTGCCTTGCCACTCTTACCTGTTTAGGAGATTTGTGTTTAGTTCCATATACCTGTCTCCTTTACTGATAAGTCCCAAATCAAAGCTTTCAACTCTTCTCACGTGCTTCTGCTACAGTCATTTTCATCTCAACAGATGTGCTCTCAGTTGCAGAGAACATGAACACCTTCCTCTTACATCCTATGTTAGTCTGTTCACAAATACTGTTTGCTCTACCCTCAGCAGGTATGCAGAATCCAGCTGCTCCTCACCAACATCATCATGACTCAGTGGTCCAGGCCAATATCATGTCTTCCCTATTGTGCCCCAAGAGGTGTCTAACTGGTCTCTTTGCCTTAGCCATGCCCATTTTAGTCTAGTCTGAAAACAGCAGATGGAGGGATGTTTTGAAATGTAATTCAGATCACATCACTCCACTGCTCAGAACCCTCCAAGGCCCCGCTAGATATCATCCCCACC